ACAACAAGGTTTAATTATAATTACTCTTCAGCAGGCATATACTAGCACTTCTTACTCATCTGTCAAATTGAGCTTAATGAAATGAAAAAGTCCAGAGAGAGACCCCATCTTTAGGACAACAGAAGACTGAACAGTCAACTCCCCATCATTTTTGTAATCCAAATCACTGTTGTCAGGATTATGTTCAGCTTTTTTGTTTTTTGTTTTTTGTTTTGTTTTGTTTTGTTTGATAGAGTCTTGCTCTGTCGCTAGGCTGGAGTGCAGTGGCTCAGTCTCAGCTCACTGCGACCTCTGCCTCCTGGGTTCAAGCGATTCTCCTGCCTCAGCCTCCCGAGTAGCTGGGATTACAGGCGCGCACCACCACGCCCAGATCATTTTTGTATTTTTAGTTGAGACGGGGTTTCACTGTGTTGGCCAGGATGGTCTCAATCTCTTGACCTGATGATCCGCCCACCTTGGCCTCCCAATCCCTCCATGTAGTCAAAAGCAATAAAACTGCTGCTCTTCAGGGAATGTTGGGAAATTGTGCACAGATGAAAGAATAAGTCTGTTTTTCTCTCCTGCTAGGTAAGTAAGCCTAATCCCAAGGGGAAAAAATACTGGCTGTTGGGCATTGACTTCCACATTCACTTCTTGTGTTTCAAGATTTGAGGTAGTGATGATGGTTAATAATATATTCTTGAAAAATGCTGAGTGGATGTAAAGTGTTCTCACCACAAAAATGGTAACTATGTGAGGTAATGCATGTGCTAACTAGCCAGATTTAGTCATTCCACTATTTATATATACACGCACCTCAAAACATGGACATGTACAATACACACAATTTTCTTTTTTTTCTTTTGAGATGGAGTCTCCCTCTGTCAACCGGGCTGGAGAGCAGTGGTAGGATCTCGGCTCACTGCAAGCTCCGCCTCCGGGTTCACGCCATTCTCCTGCCTCAGCCTCCCGAGTAGCTGGGACTACAGGCACATGCCGCCACACCCCGCTAATTTTTTGCATTGTCAACAGAGACCGGGTTTCACCGTGTTAGCCAGGATGGTCTCGATCTCCTGACCTCGTGATCCGCCCACCTTGGCCTCCCAGAGTGCTGGGATTACAGGCGTGAGCCACCGCGCCCAGCCAATACATACAATTTCATGTCCATTTCAGTTTTTTAAAAATTTAAAATAATTTAAATAGATAGATAAAGGATATATTCTTTCCACCCAGGAAAAAAAAAGATTTGAGTTAGTTTTCAACTGATAACTACATGGGTCTATTCTGGATTCATTAAAAATACAGTTCTTGGTAGTCTTTCCTATGCTTTGTGGGAGATTAGTTCCCCTTCCCACTCTGTAGTATCTGTTTGCAGCTCTATGTTTGCCAGAATTTAGGATTAAATAAGTCGAACCTGCAGTCCAGCTCAGTCCCCAAATGATTGTTGTTTCCGTGGAAACAGTTGAAGGCCTCTCAATTAAAACTGCCTCTGCAGACTAGGGAGAGTAAGTATTAAAATGAGTTTGTCTGAGTAGGCAATTTTAATCCTCCAAATTAAACTCAGAGAGTGCAAATGATCTAGGAATCTCCTGACAGTTGGGATCATAGTTCTTTGTCTTTGGGGCAGGGATTATTTTGATATTTCGGGCATAGGTATGTTTGCTAGCTTGCTGCTTGCTTTGCTGAGTTGCGCAGATCATTGTCTTTGTTACCCGCGGAGCTCTTCGTGTACAACCATGGATCATGGGCGAGGGTTTGGGAGCAATCTGATCTTTGTTCAGACTTGTGAGCTGCAACTAAAAAGCCCATTAAAAATGGATGAAATCATAGAACACTCTTAAAGTTGAAAGGAATCTTAAAGGTCATTAAGGCCTAATTTCCCATCCGCTTTGGGAATCTTTCCTAGAACGCTGTTGACAAAGGTTCACAGCATCAGCTCCCCTGTTGGGGAATCTCGTATTTCTCAGGGCAGCCTTCTTTGGTGCATTGAACAGACTTGGTGATATTGTTAAGGGGGTCCTTGTTCTTAGAGCTCCCAAGATGGTGGCCGCCGCTTCCAAGATGGTGGCAAGCCTCTTGTTCTCTGACCTGGGGTTCTTGGCCTCAGGGATTCCAAGGAATGGAATCTTGGGCCATGTGGTGCGTGTTATAGCTCTATTCAACTCGCTTGGGATGAACCCCGGGCACTTAGCCCATGCAGGAACAATGGCGATCCTCTAGCCCGATTGGGAGCGGCAATGGGCGTCTTGCTGGATCAGGAGCACAGTGGACACCCTGCCGGATCCGGAGGGGTGGAAGTCAGCTGTGGCGTCTACAATGACGGCAATCAGCAGTGGTGGAGGGCGAGCGAAAGCTCAGTTCAAACCAGAACAAACACGGACCAGAGAGTGTGCAGTTGCAAGATTTAATAGAGTGAAAAGAGAGCTCCCATACAATGGGAGGGGACCGAAAGGGGGTTGCCCACTCCCAGCTCAAATGCCTGAGTTTATATCCGGATCACGGATGCATATCCCCTGTGCTCTCAGACGATATAGGATTTCACTATTTGTTTACCTCCTGCTTTAGCCTAATTTGTATTTTAGTGAGCGCTCTTTTCTACCTGATTGGTTGGTGTGAGCTGAGTTACAAGCCCCGTTTTTAAAGGTGGGTGCGGTCACCTTTTCCCAGCTTGGCTTAGGAATTCTTAGTTGGCTTAGGAAATCCAGCTAGTCCTATCTCTCAGTATTAGAAATGCCTCTTTATGATGGAACTGACATTTCTGTCAGTTCTGCTACTGCCACCTCTTCTTTCTGGTGCCAAGTTAACTGTGTCTTATTCTCCCATAATTAAACTTAAAATCTTTTAAGAATGTTTTCATGTATACCCAAAGTCTTCTCTCTCTTCCCATGACTGAGAAGGTCCATAACATGAAAACTTCAGGTACTAACATCTGTGGTTAAAGGCGTTCTTGGGGGAGAGGCTGGTATCCTAACAATCCTGGGCCTTTACCACTGTTGCTTGGATTTTTTATTTTAAGTTTATTTTTATAGAGAAAGGGTTTCACTCTACTGCCCAGGCTGGTCTCAAACTCCTGGCTTTAAGCGATCCTCCGACTTCAGCCTCCCAAAGTGTTGGGATTACAGGTGTGAGCCACTCCACCCAGCCTGTTGGTTGGGTTTTATCTGACTTCTCTGGCAAGTTTTTTCTCAGCATCATATGTATAGGTATTTCTGTGTTTTCCTTCAGCCTTTTCCCCGCTGGAGTAAATATTCATAGTTCGCTGCTTGGAAACCCAAGAAACAAAACTGGATCAAACCTTGGGTCTATGCAGCCTCGTGAAGGGTGTGGTTGCCTTCTTTGATGTCACCTAAGAAGTTAATGAATACATCCTCAATCCCAACTGCTTTAATAGCCTTTCAGCCATTTGTCTGTGACATTAAACCTTAGACTTTTTAAAATTAGGTTTAAGTTTTACGTTTTAAGAGTTCTTTATTCCCCATATGCATTCTGTTCTTAATATCCTATTATTGTTCGTAAGTTGACACCCCCCTAAAGGAAGAAACAGGCAGAAAAAATAGAACAAATGAAATATGCTTCTCCAAATGTTCCTACCTGCAACCTTTAAATGGATTAAAACTTAAAACTCCTAAGTTCAGATGTTGATTAGTGCTGACTGGGATGTACTGGGAAGCAAGTGTATGGCCCCTGCTTGGTACTGAAATAGACATTGTGTACTGGTTTCAAAGAAGCAATGGCGTCTGTCACCTTCAGCCAGTCACCAAACTGCTCTGAGTTCCATTTTCCTCAAGCATAAAATCGGATGATTGCTTCCTGTTCTTACAGGTTATTGGGAGTGCTTTGAAAACAATTTTTTAAATTATTAAGGCTTTACAGCAAACTATACTGTGATGCTCTGGAGGTATTTTGATTTGAGAGTACCAAACAACTTCAGTAAAATTAAAATATTGGTGATATTGGCTGTTTAAGGCCCATGCCCATCCACAGTTTCAAAATAATCTTGTAACATAGGTTCTGGGTGGTATTTGATGTGGTATCACACATAAGGGAAGAGGGGATTTCAGTAAAGAAATGTCATTGTTTGTGGAAAAGTGAAATTACATAGGGTCTGTTTGGTGTTCTTGTGGCAGAAGAATAAGAGTTGAAAGTGAGGAAGTAAACTTTGATTTGTAAATCTTTTAAATTTCAACTCAAAGGAAGGTGGTAAGAAATACTCCAATAGCAAGCTTCAGAACAGCCACCAGAGCAAACCACACAAGGTTTTTGGGATCTCAGGCTAATAAAGGTCTCCCATGAAGCTCAAGAGTAGATCCTGAGGTACAATTTTTTTCTTGGAAAAAAACCAAAAACAAAAAAAAATTTGTAGGTGTTTGTAATCGGGACTGGCTGCTGTGTTAGTTTTCAGCTTCTAGCTCGACCCTATTTCCAGAGAAATTCCAAGGGCTTTGCAGTAGGCATTTGTCTAACTTTTGCGTGTCCTGGGTCTTAAAGATGACCTCCCGCTTTCTGGGGGGTCATGGGGTATGTGTGTTTTTTATGCATCTGTCTTTTTTTGCTTGTTTGTTTTTACTGAAGACCACTTATATTTGCAGACATTGAAACCAAAGGTAACACCACATCTTCTCCTTACAGGGTCTGAGGACTGTTTCTTGGCAACTTTTTTTCTATATATAGTTTTCCCAAAAGTATGAACACATTTAGACATTGGAAAGAAAGCAGTTTCCCTCCCTCCTCCCCTCCCTCCACCCCTTCCTGCCTTCCTCCTTTCCTTCCTTTTCTTTGTTTCTCTCTTTTCTCTCTTTCTTTCTCTCTCTTTCTCTCCCTTTCTCTCCCTCTGTTTCTCTTTCTTTCTCTTTCTCTTTCTCTCTTCCTTTCCTCTCTTGAGTATTAATCACATACCTGATAATCAGATGCCCTCTGCAGGTTTTCTTTGGGAGGGGAAAGGACAAATGCGATAGTCTTGACATGTTGGAAAACTGACCCCACATCCTGGTGCCTTGTTGTGTGTTCTTTTCTGCTCCCAGGGAGTTCTGTCCAACATCTCTTCCATCACCGATCTCGGCGGCTTTGACCCAGTTTGGCTCTTCCTTGTGGTGGGAGGAGTGATGTTCATTTTGGGATTTGCAGGGTGCATTGGAGCGCTACGGGAAAACACTTTCCTTCTCAAGTTTGTAAGTATCCCACTGTCTACTCTCAGATTGAGAGCCAAAACGTCACCTTCCATCAGGGGGTCACCCTATCTACAGGCAAGACAGTGAGCTGTACCAAAGGCACTGGCAAAAGTAGGGCCCAGGTCATTATTTTCTTTTGAGAGAGCTCTCTAGCCCTGACTCCCAGTCGTGCCTCCTTAATAAGTACACCACCACCCCCACGACCACACCGTGCCATCCATGGAGATTTCGTGCATATATATCACAGACTTAGATTCTATTCCCTAAGATATCTTCAGGACTAAGGTAGGTGTATATATTTCTCTTCTAAGTGATTCCTCCCCACCGTTTTAATGCACATAGTAAGTGGGGAACTGTGCAGGTCGTTGGTTTGGAGAAACCAGGCAAAAGCACAGTGACTGTGGCCTGTCCAGGTTAAATCTGTTAAGCAGTAGGTTTTGCTAAATATGGCAAAACACTAAAAGGTAAAGCTCCTTTGTCGTTAGCTGGTACAAAGTTCTCCTTTGTAATTTTTAGATGTGGTGTGGTTGGTGTGATCACTGTCTTGAGTGAATGTTTGTAGAGGAGAGGTTTCACCAGGGGGTTCATTGGTATTTAAAGTTAAAATAGAGAATGAAAAGTGAAAGCCTTTGTGTTGGACACTCATTTCAAAGGAGAAGAAAATGGCATGTGCCATTTATGTATCTTAGATATGGTTGTTGAATGTAGCCAAATGTGCCTGTCAGCATGGAGCTTGGCACTCTGGTGGGCGTCTGAATCATAGCCCTCTATATGAAGCATCCATTCCCCTTTCTAAGAACAGAGAAAGGATCCAAAGCACCCACCTTCATTTGCTGAGGAAGGATGGTAGACATTTCTGGAGAACGGTTGCAGTGTAATATTTCCTGTTACCAAAATTATTCCCAACTTTTATTGACACATCATCATCCAGGGACATTTTCATTAAAAAAAAAAAAAAAATCCAAGAAGTAGTCCAGTAGTCATGTAATGTGTGATTGTCTTCCCCAGCATTTCTGCCACATCATCCTCCAGCATCTTTTCTTAAACATCCCTGAGAAGAGGGTACACGCTGTGCCCCACCCAGGGCAGCCCATTTCTGAGCAGCTCTGGCTCGGAGAAGCTTTTGGAGGCTATTTAACCTGAAAATTAGCATGACTCATTCTAACAAGGAAAACCAAGGGGTACCTGGTCTTACAGATAAGTTCACAAGCAGCTGGTTCTCTCTTGTGGATACACTGGACCACAGTGGCTGTAGCTAGTTTCCTAAGACTCCATCTGCCTTATCTGCCAGATCCCTCCTTTGCTACACACACACACACACACACACACACACACACACACTCTCTCTCTCTCTCTCTCTGTCTCTCTCTCTCTCTGTCTCTCTCGCTCTCTCTTTCTCTCTCACACACACACATACACACACAACCAAATGCTTCATTCTTCACCTAGTCAGAAACCTGGGGAGCCCCCAGGAGAGCTCTGTCCCTGATCGCCACCTGCCAACCTGCCAGTCTTCTTGGCATGAGGCATCTCAGTGCTCCCGTGTTCAGCTCACCTCGCCAGCTTACCTCGCCACCTTTCCTGTAGCCTCAATGGGTCCTGGTCATACTCATCTGTTGCCAGTATTTTATTGGTTTCAGCCTCCATGCCCCAAAATGTGGGATCTTTTTTTTTTTTTTTTTTTTTTTTTTTTTGAGATGGAGTTTCACTCTTGTTGCCCACGCTGGAGTACAGTGGCATGATCTTGGCTCACCGCAACCTCTGCCTCCTGGATTCAAGTGATTCTCCTGCCTCAACCTCCCGAGTAGCTGGGATTACAGGAGCCTACCACCATCCCTGGATAATTTTTTTATTTTTAGTAGGGATAGGCATGAGCCACTGCACCTGCTCAGTCCCGTTAATTGTGATTTACTTTAATATAGTTTCATTTATAGTGGTAACCCCTTTAATATAGTTTATCATTTCTTATAATTGAAATGTCCAGTGTTGACTGAATAGGCAGAAAACTACACATTTCTCTAAATCAGCACCTGAATTTATAAAGTCTCATGTTGGAAATGAAGAGAATTGTGTTGTTTCTTGGCTTTTAAGACTTGGAAAATATCTTAAATGGCCTCTCTCCATTTAGTACAAACAATAAAAACTGGCCTGGAATAATCTTCGAACAGGAGGTATGAGATAAGTAGTAAGTAAACGTCCACAGGACTCCAAATAGCTCCAAAGATCTGATGGCCCCTAGGAGAACTGCTGAGGGAAAATCCAGGAACTAAGATACTGCAAAATGGAAATAGACCTTCTTAGCTGACCGAGGCTCTAGGATGAAGCCTGTGAGTCAGTCTCTGCACCTTTGGAAATAGAGGAAATTAGCTCAACAGGGCCTGGGGCGTGTAGGTATCTGCCAAATATTTTATATGAATTGAATTTGGACTCAACTTTCGGTATGTATATTATGTAACATGAAGAGAAAATTTACCAGGGGAACTGTAAAATGCAATTAACCTTTATGGAGGTGAGAACAAAAAGCAAATTAAAATCTTTCCCTGACTTGGTGTTTCCTGCTTGTGCTCATGCATGCTAGCTATAATTTTGTCATTTCTGTACTGTGATAATTCATAATTCATATTTACATGCTTAAGGTGGTACCTAATACAGGGCAAGGAGTTATTTACACTGTAGGGTAGGCATTGAGCAGAAGTGGTGTGATATTTTTTCTGGTCATTTTTCTAGATTGGGGAAAGTTTAAATTGAAATTATTGGCATCACCGATGATAATTAAGAACTGTTTAAATTCCATTTCTGGTGAGTTCATGAAGGATATATAACCAGGAACTCTAGGGAAATTTGAAGGGCTGAGCCGGAGGGTCTAGAATTGGGGCCTAAACCTGGGAGTCCAAAAACTTTGCCAAGCGCTTATTTCCACCTTCCACCCCTCCTCCCTTGCCCACCCTCACAGAGCAGTACTCGGCACCCTAGACAAACGCTGTGAGATCTGCAGACATCTAATGTCTGCAGATACCCACTCCCTGTCCGAGCCTTCCTAATCATGTAAGACTGGGACATCTTTGAAGGCAAGGGGTATGGTCTTATTCATCCTTGCTTCTGCAAAGCCTACCTCCCTCGGGGCCTGACCCATTGTGGGTCATTCAATAGATGTTTGTTGAATGAATAAATGTTTTTTGTCTTTTGTTCTTTTAATGAGTAACTGTTGTTTCCTTTGCACCCCTCCCCAATACGTTTTTCTCTCGGCTGGCAGCTCCTTGTCTGCTTGCTGAATGTAGAGCCGCAGATCACCTGAGCACCCCCTGCCTCCTCAGCTGCTCACTGTTCTGCATGTGGCCTTGCGGACCTCTGCCCAGCAGCTGTGGCACCATGTCACCCTCTCTGCTGTTGTCACCAGAAGTTTACCCGCAGTGTACCCTCTGTTCATTGTACCTTCTCTGTTCAGTGTACCCTTCACAGCTCATTTCTCATAATCTATTTTAACAACAAATTTTGAAAAGGTTAAGAATACAGGATGGTAGGAGGTGGAAAAAACAGTGGGCGTGAGCAGTAAGTCGATATGACTAAGCTGAGACTCTTCTGAGTCTTCTAGATGGAAGGGAAATTTCTCCAGAGTTACGGGCAGTTACCACATTGCCTCATGGTCTTGAGCCCTTCTTTCAGACCTCTTGTTGTCTGCATTAAGCAGAGTCTCCCTTTGGCTGCATTTTGATGTCACTTAAAAGGTTGCTGGGGCCCATGCTTCCTAGAGGAAGGCAAGCCCAGCTAAAATTCCCAGGAAAGCCCTCAACTGAGGGTTTCATTTTGTTTTTATGATGGGAAATAACTTTCATTTCACAGTCACTGCCCATCCCACTACTTCCTCTTTGACCCCTTCATCTGAGATGAACACATCTGTTACTTTACCCTGTATAGTAGGTGCAAAAGAGAATTAAAATGGTGTCTGAATCCATAAAAGAAATATATTGCATAGAGAATCAAGGCCACAGTAACAAATGACAGGCGATCTTAAAATATTGGAATAATCTATCTTTCAAGTTACAGAAGCTTACTAGAGATGATGGCAGGTCATTGTTCAAGCATCTGGCAGTACATTAATCATGAGAAATTCATTAGGCCTTAATGTGGGTCTAATGAGAAATTCTTATCCATGTTTGCTTATGGGCTTTGTTGGTTAATTACCAAATGGACCACTAGAGACCCTAAAATGTGATTATGAAATTATTTTTAAAAGTCCTTTCTTGGAGTGTAATATTCTATTAATGAATCAGCAGAAACTGAAGATTATCTACTTTGGAGATGTATAACAATCCAATGTAATTACAAACCTGTTTAGAGAGTAACCATTTAGCTATATATGATCAAAAGAGCCTTATAACTGTTCTCTGTGTGTCTTTCGTCTTAGTTTTCTGTGTTCCTGGGAATTATTTTCTTCCTGGAGCTCACTGCCGGAGTACTAGCATTTGTTTTCAAAGACTGGATCAAAGACCAGCTGTATTTCTTTATAAACAACAACATCAGAGCATATCGGGATGACATTGATTTGCAAAACCTCATAGACTTCACCCAGGAATATGTAAGTTTAAAGTGGTTTGTTTTCCAGTTGAAAGTTCTCTGAACGATGACCCCAGTGAATATCCCTCCTGGTTTCTGCATCTGCCAGCTGGAAACTACCTGACTATTCTGCATGGGTGTTTGTTTGTTTATTATTTTCCAACTTGCTCTATGACTTACAAGATTTGTATTCTAAATGGAAATGTCCTATTTTCACTTGTGTCAACTTCTGTTAAGTTAGAGGAACAAAGAAGAAAATGCTTGAGCAAAAAGTTCTAATCACGGCTGTCCTTTCCTATTTGCATTTGAGGAACATTGTTTTGCTCCAGGTTTAAAGTTTTATTTGGTTATCAAATATGGATTCTTTCTTATCCCTTGCCCCCTTTTTTGGTAATCCTTGATATTTCACAGCTCATAATAATCTACTTATCAACAGAATAATCTGCCACAGAGTTCCTAAAATGTGCCTATCCAAATATTATTATCGCACATGCAGTTAAAAGCAAAAGCTTAGAAACTCCTAAGTCCTAGTAGCTTCTAACAAGTGAAGAATGTGCGCAGTGGAATCCCGGCCACTCCTTCTGGTCCCTGAGCATTGGAGTCCAAGCCACTCCCTCTGGTCTCTGAGCATGCCTGTGAATGGCTCCTTCAGTGCCAGCAAAGCAGCAGATGTCCTGTTTCACTCAGAATGCAAGGGACCAAAAGACACAGGTCTAGTGCCAAAATCTGATAAGCAACCCTGGGCTCACAGGACCTTGACCTATTTCCCGAATAGTAAAATGGAAATAATACTAGCTACTATCTGACTCACAGGGATATTATGACACTCATGAGACATACATGTGTTTATATTCGGCTTAGGGTGGTAGGGTTCTACAAACTTGCTGGTGTTTATATACCTGCACTGAAAAGCCGGGTAGGCTGAGCTTGGACTTGGACAGCAGTGTCTGTGGCATTTATGTATGTGGCAGGGCCGGAGGGCAAGCAGACGCCCAGTGAATGGTAGCCTTCTTGGGGTTGGACAGTTTTCTGCCTGTGATGAAGGGAGGCAGCAGCCATGTCGACCTGCGTCATGAGGGAGGCCAACCCCTTCCTTAGGCACTCAGGACTGAGCTGGGTTATGTGGCTTTGTTCAGTGGCAGCAACATTTCGTCCTGGAGTAAGCTGTACCTTAAGTGGGAAGTTAAGCCCTGATTCATGTCCTCAGCTGACTTCACTATTTTATTAGGTCCTAATGGGTGCGGGCTCCCTAATAATCCTTTTCCAGGCATTATTCCTGACTGGATTGCATGACACATTGATGGAGCTTTGTGGGCACACCTTGAAATGCACAACCCAAGCCCTGGAGGGACCATGTTGTCTTGGAACGCTGTGTGCTTTATATGGAAATACTACAGTTTCATGTGACTTTCTCTTTGCATCATGGAATGTAATGTTTAGAAGTAGCTATTGGCCTAGAAGGTCTTCAAATGGTTGAGGGTTGATATTTATTTAACTCGGAGAAGTAGAGAAAGTGCATCCCAGGGAAGTGAGGAAGGGGCATCTGCAGGCTACCATTCACTGGGCTTCTGCTTGCCCTCTGGTACTGCCTTATACATAAATGCCACAGACACCACTGTCCAAGTCCAAGCTCAGCCTACCCGACTTTTCAGTGCAGGTATATAAAGACCTGCAAGTTTGTAGAACCCTACCACTCAGGCCCCATTTAAGAACCACTGAATTTAACTGCTTGTTTTTTGATATTTTAATTGGAAGACTGACTTTTTAAAGTTGAAAATGTGAGACACATTCTCTTGTTTTTAAAAAAATTCAGAGTAGAAACAAATATGATGAAAAGTTAACCTCTAAAATTTTTGGTGGTAATGGATATATCAACTATATATCCATTGATTGTGGTGATGGTTTTGTGACATATACAGACGTCAAAATTTATCAAATTGTATACTTTAAAATGTGCAATTTATTGTATGTCAGTTATACCTCCATAAAACAAAACAGATCTTTAAAAAACTATTAGAATGTGGAGATCAAAACTTTGAAAAAGTAAGCTTATAGGTAGCCCACCCATAACCCCAGTTGCCTCCTTCAGTCACTACCACTGTTGTTCGTGTCTTATTTACCCTTCTAGAATGTTCTTGTTTCTCCTTCTAGAATGACGTGCCCAAGCCAAGCAGATCTTGTTCTAACTCAGCCCTGCTGTATAGCTGCTCTGCCCTTCTTCCACCTAACACCACGGGTCTCATCAGTTGTCTAAATCATGTGCCAACACATCCCTACAAACCTTCAGCTTTAATTAATTTGGAAGCTTTTATATGGGCCATTTAGGTTCCATTTGGCTTAAAAATAAAGTCTGGGACAGAAAAAAAGGTCAGAGCTGGCAGAAGCTGGGTGTCGTTCGGCGGGTGTGAGTGTAGGCACCTGCTTGCCTCCAAGTTGGGATGTTCTAATTCTTTCCTGTTTGCTCTAGTGGCAGTGCTGTGGGGCTTTTGGAGCTGATGATTGGAACCTAAATATTTACTTCAATTGCACAGATTCCAATGCAAGTCGAGAGCGATGTGGCGTTCCATTCTCCTGCTGCACTAAAGATCCCGCAGTAAGTGCATGCCAGCGAACTATTGGCCTTCTCTGTACATCATGCTGAGAGTGTGCATGGGATGAGCAGAGTGATTTTTTTGTTGAAACCTCTTCTTACCTGGTTACTCCTATTTGTAGCTCCTGTAGGGGGTATAGTGCTCAAATCTTCCTAGTAGGAGTAATAATTGCTGGCATTAATTTAGCAGTGTGCGCTGGTTTCTATTCTAAGCGTTTATGTGCGTTGGCTCATTTAAGTTGGGCACATTCCTACTGGCAGATACCACCAATACCCTCCCTTTTCAGGGGGAAGAAGTCAAGGCACATGAGGTGTAAGTGACTTTCCCAAGCTTGCACTGCTAGCAGGCAATGGAGTGGAATATGAGACCCAGGCAACCTGCCTGTATCATCTGTTAGCCTTTCTTTATGAGAGGGGCAGGCTCATATGAGAACTCTCTGCATTGGTTTGGGGTTAGTAACCCTTTTCTTTTTGGCTTAGTTCTAGGGAAACTATTAGAAGTAGGAGGAGAGTTCGAGACAAGATAGGGCTGGACTGCTGTGTGGGAAGACCACAGCTGCCTGGACTTCTGAATGCCATCATGACTACAGTCATGCAGTTTGCATTTTATTATAAAAAATAAAATACAAAATCTATAAATCTCTCACTTTTGCCACAGGTTTAATTATATTTTGGGTCAAATCGTGTCTGGTGTATAGAATGACTTAAAATGCAATTCTTAAGCCAGGCGTAGTAGTTCACACCTGGAATCCCAGCCCTTTGGGAGGCTGAGGTGGGAGGATCCCTTGAGCCCAGGAGTTAAAGACCAGCCTGAGCAGCATAGTGAGACCCCATCTCTACACAAAAATTAAAAAATTAGCCATGTGTAGTGGCACACACCCGTGGTCCCATCTACTCTGGAGGCTGAAACGAGAGGATCACTTGAACCCAGGAGTTTGAGGCTGCAGTGAGCCATGATCATGCCACTGCACTGCATCCTGGTGACACAGTGAGACCACATTTCTTTAAAAAAAAAAAAAAAAAGTAACTATGTAGTGTTAGAATGACAAGCTTGAGAGGTTACTCCGTGTATCTGTATGTGCTCCTAACTGCAGAGCCCTTCTGGGACTCCTCAACGGTTCTCTGGCCCTGCGGTCTCCAAATGTACTCCCCAAGGCTCGCCCTTACCCCCCAGAAGCAGAGGCAAGTGGGTGCTGATGAGCTCAGTGGGGTTGCTCCTCCTTATGATGGAGGCTGTGGAGCTCTTAAAAGGAGCTGTGGTCTTGGAGTGGAAAAGCAGAACTTCCCTGCAGGCTGCCCCCGCGGGGCCACCTCGGCTGTGTCTCTTGGTCTGAAAGAGGAGACAAAGTCACTAAGGACTGTGCTGCCCCGCCAGCTGCCCTTTCCCACCAGCTCAAACCTCCTCTCCCTTCTGAGGAGAGCCACATGGAGGCAGAGTGCCCGCTCAGAGCTTGAGGGGCTCATCCCGGTGGCCTCGCACTGGCCAGCGGGTGCGGCACAGCGCGCTTCCTGTCGCCAGTCCCTGTCCCATGTGAACATCCCCTTGGGAGAATTCTGTGTTCTCAGAGGCATTCATGCTTCCCCTTTCACCTACAGATCCTCTGGGTAGAGCTAGTTCATTCCTTGCGCTCTAAGCTAATAAAATCTGCTCCACACCCTGCAGAGGAGGAAAATGAACTAACCCGAAAAAGGGGAAACATGTTTCTGATCAGACCCTGTGAGACGTGAAGTTGTCCGTTGATTATGTAATCAGGGCATTGTTTTGTTTTTTTAATTATTAAAAGCTCATTGAAAAACCATTTAGGTAACGTAGAAGTATACAGATTAAAAGTAGCAGTCCATCCAAAAGAGCATACATGAAGATTTACGGTGCCCTTTAAGTTACGTTTTTTATCTGTGTCTCCAGTTCCCTAAATCTTCTTGAGGTTGGCACCACTTTGAAACTTGAGCCTCCCGTGTGATAGACTTGCTGTCTTTTCTGATATTCCCCAAGCCTTAGTTTTCCTTATTTGTAAAACAGGGCATATTTTAATACCTACTTCTGAAGATTGTTGCAATAATGACATGGGGTCATGTATACAAAGTGTTTAGCGCAGTGCTGCAGTCTTTGTGCTCAGATGCACACTTTATTACTAATGCGTAACAGGAGTCTTCTGCTCATTTCTAGGTGGCCTTTCTGTCTAATGAGTAAATTTCACTTTTCTCTTTCCTTTCTTCACCAGGAAGATGTCATCAACACTCAGTGTGGCTATGATGCCAGGCAAAAACCAGTAAGTGGAATCTCATCTTGTTGCTTAGCACAAAGGGTGTTGGAGGAGCTTTGGCCTGTGCCTGGTGCTCTATCTGTGACAGTGTGCTCTCCTCTTCCCTTGTGAAGGAAGTTGACCAGCAGATTGTAATCTACACGAAAGGCTGTGTGCCCCAGTTTGAGAAGTGGTTGCAGGACAATTTAACCATCGTTGCTGGTATTTTCATAGGCATTGCGTTGCTGCAGGTAAGATAAGGGTCCTTTATGGATATCACAGGGAAATAATGCCCTGGGAGAGCCCTTGCCAGGATGGGAGCTTTGCTTAAAAACCTTGGTTGTCATAGTATTTAAGACACATTGGAGGGCTGAGGAACAGACCTAAACGATTTGGTGGGCATTGTGTTTTTATTTATTTATGAATGAGACGGAGTCTAACTCTGTTGCCCAGGCTGGAGTGCAGTGGCATGATCTCGGCTCACTGCAGGCTCCACTCCCGGGTTCACGCCATTCTCCTGCCTCAGCCTCCAGAGTAGCTGGGACTACAGGCGCCCGCCACCACACCCGACTAATTTTTTGTATTTTTAGTAGAGACGGGGTTTCACCATGTTAGCCAGGATGGTCTCGATCTCCTGACCTTGTGATCTGCCCGCCTCGGTCTCCCAAAGTGCTGGGATTACAGGCATGAGCCACCGTGCCTGGCCTGGTTTGTGTTTTATTAAAGCTCTGAGTTTAGATGCTACTATCATGAAATACTTTAGGAAAGCTTGTCTTTTTCTAAGATGGAGACATTAATTAGATCAGTAGTTGCCTGCAGGCATTCCATCGTTTACATGGGTTCAATAATACTGCATTGTGGCAATGAGTCAAACATGCATAATTAGAAGTAGATCTCACTGGTGACGTGAAGGTTTTGGGGAGTTTCACAGAGATGTCATAACCCTTTCTCTCCCTGAACCACCTTGCCAAAGTGCTAGTGAAGGAAGGGAGCACCAACTTTTCCTCCTGGCCAGTCTCAAGAGCTGGACTCTTCATGTTGTTGGTGTGATCCTTTCCTAAGAGCACATAGTTGAAACAAATTAAAGAAGACCTAAGTAAATATAAAGATATCCTGTGTTCACAATTGCAACACTTCATATTATTAAGGTAACAACACTCCTCAAGTTGATCTACAGATTCAGTGTAATCCCTATCAAAATTGTAACCACTTTTTAGCAAAAATGGACAAGCTGATCCTAAAATTCCTTTGGAAAAGCAAGGGACCCATAATAGCCAAAACAAATTTGCAAAAGTAAAACAAAGTTGGAGAATTCGCACTACTCAATTAAAAACTTAGTACAAAGCTATACAGTAATCAACATAGTGTGTACTTGAGTAAGATTAGCCATATAGATAAGTGGAATAAAATTCAAAAATCAAGAAATAAAACCAGGCCAGGTGTGGTAGCTCATGGATGTAATCCCGCACTTCAAGAGACCAAGGCAGGAGGATGACTTGAGCCCAGGAGTTCAAGACCAGCCTGAGCAACATAGCAAGACCTTGTCTCTACAAAAAGTAAAAATAAAAAAATGAGCCCAATGTGGTGGCACATGCCTGTGGTCCCAGCTACTTGGGGGACTGAGAAGGGAGGACCACTTGAGCCTGGGAGGTTGCCGTGAGCTGAGATTACACCATTGCACCTTAGGCTGGGTGACAGAGCAAGATCCTGTCTCAAAAATAAAAAATAAAAAAGAAGAAGAAATAAGCTCATACATGTATGGTCAGTTGATTTTTGACAAGGGAACCAAAACCATTCAATAGGGAAGGAGCAGTCATTTCAACAAATGGTACTGGGAAAACTGGATATGCAAAATTATGAATTTAGACTCCTAACTCACGCCATATGTAAAAATTAACTCAAAGCAAAGACCTAAATATAAGAGCTAACACTATAGAACTCCAGAGGAAAACGTAGGCATAAATATTTGTGACTTTGGATTAAGCAGTGTCTTCTTAGATATGACATCAAAAGCATAAGCAGCGACACAAATGTAAATAAATGGAACTTCAAAATTAAAAACTCTGCTGAAAATGATACCATCAAGAACGTGAAAAGATAACTCCTAGTGTCTATAAAATATTAATAACTTTTCAAACTCAACAATAAAAAAGGCCAGGCACAGTGGCTCACGCCTGTAATCCCAGCACTTTGGGAGGCTGAGGCGAGCGGATCATGAGGTCAGGAGATCGAGACCATCCTGGCTAACATGGTGAAACCCCGTCTCTACTAAAAATGCAAAAAAAATTAGCTAGGCATGGTGGCAGGCACCTGTAGTCCCAGCTACTCCGGAGGCTGAGGCGGGAGAATTGCGTGAACCCGGGAGGCAGAGCTTGCTGTGAGCTGAGATCGTGCCACTGCACTCCAGCAGCCTGGGGGACAGAGGGAGACTCCATCTAAAAAAAAAAGAAGATTTAAATGGCTAATAAGCACATGAAAAGATGCCCATGTCAGTAGTCATTAAGGAAATGCAATTCAAAGCCACATACTTCATACTCTTTGAAGTGGTTAGAATGAAAAAGACGGACAATAACAAAGTATTGGCAAGGATGTGGAGAAAAGGAAACCCTCATATGTTGCTGATGGAAATGAAAATGTTGCAACCTCTTTGGGAAACAATTTAGCAGTTTCTCAAAAGTTAAATATAGAGATACCATATGAGTCAGCATTTCTACTCCTAGGAGTGTACCCAAAAGATTTGAGAACATATTTGCCCAAAAACTTGTATGCTCGTGTTCGTAGCAGAATTATTCATAATTGCCAAAATGTGAGAGCAATGCAAATACCCATCAACTGAGGAGTAAACAAAATGTGGCATATCCATGTCGTGGAATATCATTCAGCCATCCAAAGGAATAAATTAATAGTACATGTGTATGAACCTTGAAAATATTTTGCTACATGAAAAAGACAGTCACAAAAGCCCCATATTATATGATTCCCTTGATATGAAATGTCCCGAAGAGGCAAATCCATGGAGGCAGGAAGTGGAATAGTGGTTGCCAGGTCTGTAGGGATGGTGGGATGGGAATGGGAAGTGGAATAGTGGTTGCCAGGTCTGTAGGGATGGTGGGATGGGAATGACTGCTCACAGGTACTGGGTTTCTTTTTGGGGTCATGAAATGTTCTGTGATTAGATAGTGGTGATAGTTGCATAGCTTTGTGAATGTAGTGAGAGCCACTGAATTATACATATTGCAAGGATGCTCTTTACCACATATGAATTACATCTTAAATTTCAAAAATCAACAATTTTAAAAAAATGGGACACAGTGGCCAGGAGTAAAAGTTACAAGTGTCACTGTTTGACTCACATTTTCTTCCTTTTTCAGATTTTTGGGATATGCCTGGCCCAGAATTTGGTTAGCGATATCGAAGCTGTCAGGGCGAGCTGGTAGAGCCCCTGCAGCCGCTGCTGCAAGACACTGGACAGACCCAGCTTTTGGGACCCTCCCACGTGCCGAACTCATCTTCAAGCTGCACGGACCTCATCACAGATGCAGCCCGCAGTCTCGCCTAATGGAGCTGCCATTTGTGGGGTAAAACTGGGAAATGCTGCTCACTGACAGAATTAAAAAACAAAAATAACCAGTATGAAAGTCGTTGCGCCGTGAATCTCTACTGTAGCCATGAATTTATGGACAGTTGGATGCTTACCAAAAAAGAAAAAAAGGGAGGGTGGGGGACCCAGATGTACTTGAATGTGCGGAAAATGCAGTCTTGTCCTCATCTTCCATAACTGGAGGGCTGGGAAGGCAGCTTTGCTCTTCGCCACACCTTGGACGGACCACCTTCTGTTCCATGGTCTGAAGGAGTGCATCTCCTCAAAGACTCAGCCCCTCACCTGGGAGGGCAGTGGTTTGTCGGCATCCCTCCATGTACGTTTTAGGAAACACGTGCCACTCTGATCTGAAGAAGAAAACAACTCGTCTTGGGTTCAGATTTTGTGATGGTATTCAAGTCACTCGGGCGAGCGCACTTGGTCTATCCTGGAAAGTCTCCTTATAACAGAAGTTGTGTATTTCATGTGCACCGAGCAAGGGCATCGGAAGACTTCATGAGGCTGTATTCTAGCAGGACTGCTCTTTTTTCTAAGTAGGCCGGAGCTTTATCAGTGAAATTCAAGGAGAAAATGAGGTTAATGAAGGAGGTATCAGTTAAATACCCCCTTCTTCTCACCCTGCCAAAATTAGCAGTTGAATTTTTGGAAACTCTGGAATACTCTGGGTCATTTTGTTTTGTATGTTTGTTGTTTTTCGTCTTCCAAAGGTGAAAGCTATGATATGGTTCCACTTAAATTTTAGTGTTTTCTTACTCAGCTCAAGCATTAATTTTTGATAAAATCTTAACCTGCATGACCTGTGAATCTGAATCTATCATCTCCCTTTCCTGCCGGCTTTTCTACAAACATTGAAATATGTTATTTGGTCAACACTTATTTCCTAGGTTCACAGCCTTGGGAGGTTGTGGCATGTCCTCCCAGCCTGGCTGGGAAGAGACCAGCTGTACCATCCAAATGCTTCCCTGGTCTCAGTGATCTCTTCCAGAGTCAATCTGAGTGGCCTCTTCTGCACCCTCCCCTTCTTTCTCTTTGAATGGAATTAAACCCGATTTTGAAACAACATTGACCCAGTCAAAAGCTCCTAATGATTTCTTTTTCTTCCTCTTTAGTTTGCTTTTATTAAAAAAAGAAAATAGTGCATGGCCATAGCTCCTTCAGTTCTCTTATTGCAGACTAACCATCAGGATGGTATCAAAGCACAAATACTTTGGAGGGGAATGCGTTGAACTGGGGCAAGTACTGTGTAACACAAAGTGGAAAACCACTTCCTGGTGCTGCCGCTCCTGCCCCCACTTTAGGTGGGAGGAACGAGTTTTGCCCTCTAGATTTTAACCCAGCTGGTGTCCACCGGATGTTGCCCTCCTGGGGAGCAGATATCAGTCTGTGGAACGCTGGGAAAACCACAGGCACATTTTTCGGTGCGGACAGAATTGCCAGCACATAACTGGGCAGCCAGCTAGCATACTTTGTGGAAATTAAGCGAGGTTTTCCATTTCAGCCCCATGGTGCGTGGTGGTGGCTGATGAATATGTCAGTCTGCTCAGAGAAAGGACAGAAAGGAAATTCTTTTCAAAACTGTGTTCACAGTTTGGGTGTGTGTATGGCTCTGCATGTGTGTGTTTTTGTCTCTGTATAGGTAGAGGTGTTCACGTCTTACTCCGACCGTAAGGTTGTCTGACTTCATCTCTGCCCCCACCACAGTTGCCATTTTGTAATGTCCTTCCAACATGGAGAAGACACGAGCTCTCCAGTTGGCATCGTTTGTCTTTTTTGTTGATTGCCTCATTCTCCATTGAACTCCATCTGGCCAGTTGATTCAGAATCAGGCAAGATCCCTGCCCTTTGGCACATTCACTGAAAGGCCAAACAGCAAGTCCGAGTGAGTTTTAAATATTAATTAATCACCCTTTATTTTTTACACTTTGAGAGTGATTGTAATAAAGGCTGTCATTAATAAACCTGGTTCTACCTTACATGGAGTTGTGTCTTTCTTCATTACTTCTTTCTTGAAATTGTGAAATTTTCGAATCCAGTGGTTCTCAAACTTTAGCAGGTGTCAGAATCACTGGGAGGACTTGTTAAAACACATGAGTGCATTTGCTCCATGCCCATAATTTGTAACTTAGTAGGTCTGGGGTGGGGCTGGAGAATTTGTATTCTGGTAAGATCGTAGGTGATGCTGTTTGCGGCTCGTTTGGGAACTACATTTTGAGAAGCATTGTTCTGATCCGGTTTTCTAGGAGGGGAAACAGAAAGGTAAGATTTTGTAGTTGGGAAGGGAAAGGTTCCTTTGTACTTACAAATGCTGACTGACAAGACACAGAGATGAGAGCCCTGTATGTAGGAAATCTCTGCCCATGAGGTCATCTGCTGGTTACAATCACTTGGGGACCGTGTGAAATACAGATTCCCCCGACCTCACCCCTAGCAGTTCTGGAGTGGGAGACAGGGTATATATGTTTTAAAAGCTCCCTTGAAAATTTAATGCCTGGTGGGATTTATGACTTATGGGCTTAGATAAATGTTGATAATATTCACAACCTTTTTTGTAAGAAAATAATTTCTCACAGTCCCTTGGAGCTGGAATCTTAAAAACCCATTAGAGGAATGTCAGCTTAAATGTCTTTCATTGTGAATTATCACTGCAGAAGAAGACTTCTGTCGTTAGAACTGATTAAAGACTTTTTTCAAAGATCAAATGAAAACAAATGTTAAGGTTCATATAGCACACTTAGATCCTGACAGCATAGTGTCAGACTTGTTCAAGAAATATTTTGCCTCATTTCTCATCTATTTGAAACAACAATGTTATTTTGATTTTAAGGAAATTTATCAGTGATGATTGGAGATGGCCAATCCCTGCTTCTTGAGGTTTCTTATTGTCTACATTGACCCGCTTTGCTTGTTGCAAACTATAAGCTAACAAAGGAGAAAAAATGACAGCTCAGAAGTAAAAGGATGCTTTGTCTATAAAACTCAAAAACTTGGAGGAAGCTTCTTCAGTGTGTAGAAGGTAGACTTTAGGGGAAGCTTATTAAATTTCCCTATTTCTGTTGTTGGACTGGTTACCACTAACATCATTTCTTCTATAATTTAAAAATATACAGTTTTTAAATGTGAACTCAGAAATTAAACAGAATTTTGCATCATGAAGTACTTAAGTGCATTTCCTTTGTTCTTCCTCTTCCTTCTCCCAGGGAATAATAAACCTGGACTTTTCTTTCAGCCTTCCTCCTGCCACAGGTCCCAGTTGTCCTTTCCTCAAGGGGATCCTTAAAGTGTCTCTTGGAGGTTTCTTATGCAAAGTGATCATTCATTTCCCTGTGTTTGTGTGGGCAGGAATGGAGTGATTTTGCAGTTTCGTCTGTTTCCGGCTGACTTGGACAGGCGCCCTGGGAAGCCTGTGGGCTGAACAATGAGGAGCTGGAGCCCAGTGACCTGGGAGGCCACCCCAGCTCTCCTTGTCATTTATTCCACGAAGCCCTCCTTCTCTAGGGAAATCCTGTTTAGACCTCCAATGAAGAACTGGGAAGCCCTCCATAAACACTGGCCAGCAGGGTTTCATGGCCAGCGCGCTCTCCCGTGAGGCCATGGGGCTGCTTCTAGGTGCTGCCCGCTTCTGGAGTGAGAAGCCTAGTCTTTGAGTGAGGAGGAAAACACAGCGTTTGCCTGAAAAATACATTAACATTGGCTTTATCATGATGACACAATAAAATCCATAGAAAAATCTACACGTGATAACAGACAAGGCAGTCAGATGGTGGGGGGTGGGGGGTGTGTGGCAGCAGGGAGCAGGGCAGAGAAGCCAAACTGTGAACTTGGAGCAGAGCCATCCTTAGACTTTTTGTTTGGAGGGGTTTGCCACACAGAGTTTATAATATTACAGTTTTAGGCCAGACAAGGTGGCTCACACCTGTAATCCCAGCACCTTGGGAGGCCAGAGCAGGAGGATTGCTTGAGGACAGGAGTTCAAGACTAGCCTGGGCAACATAGCAAGACCCCATGTCTAAAAAAAAAAAATTTTTTTTTTTTTTTAATTAGCTGGACCTGGCGTCATGCACCTGCACTCCCAGCTACTCTGGGGGCTGGGGCAGGAGGACAGCTTGAACCCAGGAGTGATGTATGATAGCACCACTGTACTCCATCCTGGGTGGCAGAGCAAGACCCCGTCTCTAACTTAATAAAAATAAAACTACAGTTTTTAGGACTTCTTGAGGGATTAAGTACAGCTTGTTGTGGAGTTTTCATGCTGAGTGGTTCTCTTGTAAACTTGCCACTAGCGAGAGGATGCTGATTTAGTCCCTTCCTGTTATCCGTTAGCCGAGGCTAAACCTCTGGGGACCCGCACTGGCCATTGTGATTTATTTCTCCACTTCTAGGAACTCCCAAGTAAAGTAAATCTAAGGGAAGAGCAGGCGAGTTCACGGGCTTTCACTGTAAATATGCCCCGAAAGGAAAGCAGTAGCAGGCTTCCCACGCTCTTGCCCCTCACCGAACACATTCTCAGTGGGGGAAAGCTACTTTTCAGATGTGGAGCGGACTGTCAGGTGCAGTGTCAGCTCTTGCATTTGCAGAGCAACTCGTTTGAACGGGAACGTTTTAATGGCCTGCCCTCTAGTGTCGAATGCATAAAACCACTCCGGACTGGAGTTGGAATAGTTCAGGGATAAAAACACTATGTTCAGAGGCGCTTGTGCTTTGGAGAAACTTGAAGGTACACAGCTTATGTTGCCTGCTTAGGGCGAGTAGGTGTTTTATTTCCTTTACACGCTCCTGAAAAATGGCAAGGCTTGTTTTGGAAAGATAAGAGAACAGGACGTTTTGCTCCCATCACCATCCATCCTGCTTGGGATCTTGCTGCTGGGAGTTGATCAGGCAGGATGGAGCTGGGCCCTGCCCTCCCACCAGTTTCCAAATGTGGTTTCTAGATGATGATGGTGACTGTCTAAAGCTGCTCATCTTCCAGGCGAGGCATTGTCCTAACGGAGTCCTCACTGGGGCTAGGAGGGCAATGCTCTGCACTCTCCCTCCCAGGGAACACCACCCTCCATCGGAACTTCACAGGTTTCTGTGACAAAAGGCCCCAGGACCCTGGTTTGCACTTCAGTTCCTCTTCAACATAAGCAACTCTCCAGAAACAAGGAATAGAACATCTTTATATTTCTTCTAGAACCACCAGTGTGTTACTTCTACACACTGTACTTAGAAGTACACACATACATGCATACATACCACCGGTGTGAATGACCTGGATTTTGCTTTGGTCTTGTCAGAAGCATTTGAACCACAACAACTCCATTGTAAATAGGACCTGGGTAACATGAGGCTGAAACCTACTGGGCTATGTTCCCAGATGGCTAGGCATTCTAAGTCACAGGATGAGATAGAAAGTTGGCACATGACACGGGTCATAAAGACCTTGCTGATAAGACAGGTTGCAGTAAAGAAGCCTACCAAAACCAAGATGGCAATGAGAGTGACCTCTGGTCGTCCTCACTGCTACACTCCCACCAGTGCCATGACAGTTTACAAATGCCATGGCAATATCAGGAAGTTACCCTACATGGTCTAAAAAGGGGAGACATGACTAATCCACCCCTCATCTAGCACATCATCAAAAAATAACCATAAAAATGGGCAATTAGCAACCCTCAGGACTCCTCTGTCTATGGAGTAGCCATTCTTTTATTCCTTTATTTTCTGAATAAATTTGCTTTCACTTTATAGATTCACCCTGAGAATGGCTTGAGCCCAGGAGTTTGAGACCGGCCTGGACAACATAGTGAGACCCTGTCCCTACAAAAAAAAAAATTCTGATTGGTGGACATGGTTACATGAGCCTATAATTCCAGCTATGTGGGAGGCTGAGATGGGAAGATTGCTTGAGCCTAGGAGATGGGAGGCTGCAGTGGGCCTTGATTGCACTGCTGCATTCCAGCCCGAGCAACAGAGCAAGATCCTGACTCAAACAAACAAAAACCATAAAAAAGAAATCAGCCGGGTGCGGTGGCTCACGCTTGTAATCCCAGCACTTTGGGAGGCTGAGGTGGGCGGATCATGAGGTCAGGAGATTGAGACCATTCTGGCTAACACAGTGAAACCTCGTCTCTACTAAAAATACAAAAAATTAGCCGGGTGTGGTGGCGGGCACCTGTAGTCCCAGCTACTTGGGAGGCTGAGGCAGGAGAATGGTGTGAACCCAGGAGGCACAGCTTGCAGTGAGCCGAGATCACACCACTGCACTCCAGCCTGGATGACAGAGTGAGACTCCATCTCAAAAAAACAAACAAACAAAAAATCGACGTTTTGTGGGACATTTTAAACATAAAGAATGCTTTATTATGATTAAGTCATGGTCTGTATTCTGTATTTATTTGAAGTAAATTATCTTAAATTCAACTTGTTAGAGTGATTCAAGTTTTATAAAGAAAATAGCCTATTTCCACACTTGTGCTGTCTTTAGTCTTGTTACTTTGCGACTGAATCAGCCCACTAGTTCTCTGACTGCCTGCTGCAGGCTGGGTACTAGGGGTGAATATATCATCTTCTTGAAAGAACAGGTCACATTTATTGACTAGAAGTGTTCCAGGCACTGTGTTATAAGCATGCTGCATAAGTTCCTAAGGAAATGTCAACTGATGGAGGGGAAAACCCCACACGTGGAAAATCCACTTCAAGAACTAAACTGACATTCCTCAAAATGGTGCCTGGTTGAGCTACGGGAAGAACACAGGGGTTAATGGAAGATGGTCTCAAGAAGGAGGAGAGGTTTGATCTGGGCCCCTGGGGAGGGTAGAGGGGGCCACAATAAAGCCTATGCCGCTGGGGAGGTTGGAGAGGGCCCAGAACCTCCAGACGAAAGAGTGGGGAAAAGCTCAGGTAAGCAGTAAGAAGGTCCAGTATAGAGAGTCTTGGAATTGTGGCCCAGTCCTTAGCATACGCCAGGCACTCGAAGGCTTGCTGAATGACAGCA